TGGCACGCGAGCCAGAGGAGGCCAGACCAGGTGCTGTTCCTCAGGTACGAAGACATGCTGGGAGATCCGGTGGGTAACCTGAAGAAGCTAGCAGCGTTCATGGGGTGTACCTTCTCTGAGGAGGACGAGGAGGATGGGGTGGTGGATCAGATCGTGGAGCTGTGCAGCTTGGAGAATCTCAAGAGCAAGGACGTCAACAAGAACGGGAGTACACGGCTGGGCATCAAGAGTGAGTCGTTCTTCAGGAAGGGGCAGGTCGGCGACTGGAAAAACTACATGACCATGGACATGGCGGCGAGGCTGGATAAGATTGTTGAGGAGGCCACCCGAGGTTCTGGGCTCACCTTTGGGGACTCCTCACTCCTCGGTCGAGGTTAATTAAGAAGCGTTCTCACCATCATCTTAGATCGATGGCACTGTGTCGATCTAGAGATTACTTTCCATCATCGAAAAATAAAGATTGTACAACTTGTGTTTGCATGGAATCATGGATCTAGTTCTGTATCGATCATTAGGTTTGGTGTTTTGCATCCATACGTAACGTATGGTCAGGAGGCACATGGGCTACTCTAGTCTGGTATGATAAGCGTGAACCTTGTGGTGTCTGCGGTTGTTGCAAGAAAAGATGGATGGCTTTACTTCTTCTATAAGGAAATTATGTTCTTATTAATTTCAGATATGTTGTGTACGGTTGTTACAAGAAAAGATGGATCGCTTTACTTCTTCTATAAGGAAATTATGTTCTTATTAATTTCAGATATGATCCTTGTTATAGAAGTATATATAGATATGGTTCTAAATAGAGACAAAGTTCTAAAGATACAATAGGTTTAGAAATAGTATCTTACTCCAAGTAGATGTAGAGTCCTACTCAATCATGTATGAAGTCCTACTAGGACATGTATCAACTGGACTATATCTATACCTAATCTATACTATAAAGGAGCGAAGGAATTGAAAATCTATTGTCACCAGAAAAACTTCCTACACACCTCAGATTGACAGGTGGACCCACAACAGAAGGACGATAGGAACATATGAAGCATGCGTGCTATACAACACATGTGTGTTTCTTGGTTCGTTGGCACGTGGATTTTCTGTCCGTCGGATCTGTCTCGCGCGCGTCTGCTGGGCGTTGGATGTGGTCTGCTGTCCTTGTTTCTCTGACCTGTGGACCTGGATGTCGGCGCTAGTTTTCATTTTTTGGGAGTCACGCCTGATTCGGTGGCGTCCGTCCCCCCGCACCGCACCACACCCCACCCCACCCCACACCCTCCATTTCCATTTTGTTTCGGCTTCTTCTAGGCGACTCCAGGCGATGCGCCGCTCTCCTTGGGTGGCCGACCGGCGATTTCTAGGGTTCGTCGAGGTAAGTTCTCTCCGCTCCCTTCTTGTCTTCCATGGATGCTAGGGCCGACCGGCGATTTCTAGTGCGTTTTGGTTTGTCCCCTTTCTTCTTAATGTTGTTTTCCCGACCATCTCCGACGAGCGTCCTACTGAGAGTACGGCGCTGCCACGCTCTTTCTTGCCCCGCGGCACCGCACCGTGACTCCGCCGCTCGCGGGAATGCTGTCCCAGCCCCCGCCTGGCTCCACCGGCGTAAGCCCCCGGACCCCGGCCTCCACCGGTGGAATCGCCCGGATCTGTCGGCGATCTCCGCTTGAGCCGTCCCGTCAGGCTGCACCCGGCGGAATCCGCCGGATCTGTCGACGCTCTCCGCCTAGGCCGTCCCCGGGCTCCACCGGCGGAACCCCCCCGGATCCGGCGACGCTCCGCCTTGATCCATCCCCGCGCCTTGCAGAAATTTGTACGTGCATCTCACCTCCTCCTGGCGGATTTCGCGACCGCCTTGCCGATGAGGCCCATCGGTTGTCGCGGCAGGCTGTTGGTTCTCAGCCTCGCGCTCTCGGCGGCGGCGACCCTCCGCCTCCACAAAAACTTCCCCAATCCCGATCCCCTAACTTCTTCGAGCGGCGGAAGACCCGCATTGTTTATTTGTAGATCTCCTCGTTCTGTACTTGTTTCTGGCTGGATTTTCATCGGTGTTTCGGCGATTAGCCCTTTCTGTGAAGACCCGCGTCGGATTTGCTTGCTGTCGTTGTTTTGCCGTCGTTGGTGACTACTTTTTTGCGCTTTGTTAATGATTTAGATGTTGACCTGTTTGATTAGTTTTCCCCCGTTATTTGTTCTTATTTTTTCGATTTTTCCCTGTTATTTGCATATAGGCAGAGGCGCTGGCTGAAGTCGAAGTGTAGTAGGGAGGTCGACCCCGTGGTTGATCCTGAGTTGCCCGTTCCTGATTCGGAGGTGGAGGCGGAGTCCGGGCCTGAGCTGGAGTGCAGTTCTTCTGCATTGCTCATTAGTTTGTTTGGTGAGTTGTTTATTTAGTCTGTTTTCTAATTTTTTGCAGATATGGTTTATATTTAGTCATTGGTTGCTAAAACCATGTGATCTTTCTGTAGTTGTTTTTGAATCTATATAGATGGATCCTGAATGATTGTAGTGTTTGTTTTCCAATTTTCGTAGATCCAGTTTATGTTTAGTCTTCTCTGTTTATCTGAATTGATTTTCGGTCCTTCCATACTTTATCTGTAGTAGCTCGTAGCTATCATCCTCAGTTGTGATTGCTCATAGTTTACAGTAGAGTTCAACTGTACTTACAGTTGTTGATTTAGTTTAATTCATAGTTATCTTTGATGTAATTTTGCTAAATTGTTTGCTTTTTTCTGCAATGATGAGGTCTAGCTGCATGTGTACTAGGAGGCAAAGTTGTAGTTGTATCTGTTGTAGCTGCATCTTTTGTAATTTTTTTCATTTGGCTTTTGGTTTTTTTTAGTGCGGATTTACTTGATCATCTGGATAGTTGTTAAAGTTGTTTGAGGTAACTTAGTTAGATGCCCTAGTTTGATTTTATTAGTTGGTGTGTCCAATAAATTCCCTCCTGGTTTTTTGTGCTTGCGCTTGTGTTGTGTTTAGGCCTGGCCAGTGCCTGGTGCTTGAGTCGATAGAATGTGTGTGTGTGATTTGCAAGTTTGGATTGACGAAGCAGCAGCTTGGTGTGCATGGCCACCTGTGATTTGCAAGTTGTTTATTTAGCTCCTAATATTTGTGCGTTGCGATTCATATCTCCGTCTCGTATTCACACCCCTGTGATCTGTTGGCGATTTTTGTGCGACATTTATGTGGATTTTCCGTGGAATATAGATCCTGCTTTCTGTCGCGTTTGTCCCGTTCCGTGCGGTTCAGTGGATTTGATGTTGAAGGAGGGAGGGGAGCGGGTGCGGCGGAGGGGCGATGTGATGGCGATGTGTGCTAGGTTCTGTCGATTCTGCTTAATCCCTATCATTTCTGGTGTGTGGATCGGGCGTTTGTTGTCGTGTGATTTTCCTACGCTACCTGCTTTACTAGTGACAACTTTGTTGACACTGGGTTTTTACTAGTGCGCTAGATCCAAGCCTTTTTGCGCTGATCCAAGCCTTTTGTCGATCCATGGGTTTTTACCATGGATCGATGCGTCGGAGGCGGAGGGATTCGTATTTTTTGTTTTCAGTTAATCAGTTGCGTTTGCTACCATGTATGCGAGTAAGATAATTTTGCATTATTCTATTTTTCCCTGGTTGTGCATGTTTGAGTGGCTTTTATATCTGTGATTGGTTTCATTGTTGTACATCAAGCTTGTTGATGGCTAGTTGACATCCTGATTTTTTTAACTGAATTCAGGTGCAGAGATTTAAGGCTTGGAGGAGGGTACCCACTGAAGGCTGTCAGCAAGGTAATAATATTGTTAAGCCTGCATGTTGTGTGCTCGAGTGAAGTTCTTATTTTGATTTCATTGTTTCTGATCCCATGTTGAAATCAAAATAGTGAAACTTTATTTTGATTTCATTGTTTCTGATCCCATGTTGCAGTGAAGTTTTTGCCTCTGCTTGTGTTTTTCTCTTTTGTTGCTGATGATCAGTTGATGCTTATTGGTTTGTAGTAGTTTAATTCTTCTGGTTGGTACTTGGTAGGAGTAGTTCAATTTTCATGTATATTACTGTAATGTTGGTCATAGTCTAATTTTATTAGTAGCGAGTCCTATCTCATCGTAGCTTAATATTCCCCTGCATATGGTGAACTTTTTTGGAGGATGGATTTCATGTGGATATCTAGTACTGCCTGCAAACTTTTGTAGAAACCTGAATGAATTGTCCACATAGTTTCACTATTTTGAGAAAGCTTGTCATCTCTTTCCTGTTTGTCTGGAATTTAGAAGCGTGAACCTGAATGAATTCCTGTTTGTCTGGAATTTAGAAGCGTGAACCTGAATGAATTGCCGACGTAGTTTCAGTAGTTGGAAATAAAGATTTGTATTGAAAACTGAAACAGGTAGTCCATGCCTTAGCGGCTTTGCTCTGTTCCTGTATCATCACAATTGATTCTTTTCATTTTTCACATGAATGTTTTTGCTTGTTATGTGCATTTATTTATGGTTTGCGAATGTGGCCGTGATGGTTCTGCTACACTAATGTTTTTTCAGGAAACTCAACTATAACCTAATAGTTGCATTGAAGTAATTCTAAGTCAACTCCATTGTCGCTGTTTATTTTATTTTTACTCAATGTCTATGGTAACATAAGATTTTGTCGGACGATAGTTTTGTATAGATGATCTGTCCATAGGCTGCCATGGTATTACTAACTCAGTTGTAATAGCTACACTTACCTTCTCATTAGTTCACTATGAGTAGTAATAGGAATAGAGGACATGGGGAGATTTGTGATGATTCTGTGAGGTAATTTTATACATTCCAGGATTCTCTGCTTCATACATGTGAGGGATATCTCAACTGAACTATCATTATTTGGATATCCATGATTAATTCTTTGAAATAGAATTCTTCGGTGAATTTCTACAAGTAGTTATTTACTCTTTTATCATTAGTGACATGCCAATGAAAAATGAGAAATTTGTGATCTGCTATTTTATTTTGAGCAAATTGTACAACATTGCGGTCTGACAAAGATGATGCAATATTTGTAGTTCCTAGTGAAACACATTGCTTTAATATTTTCATCTTTGATCGTTTGAGTTTAGATGGACAGGCGCATGCGGAGCTCTTCATGTCCCCCTGTTATTCAATCGTCAGCTCCTCGCGTTGAAAGGGAACCTATTTTAGTAGAAGTGCCTTTGAAAGACGACGATGTCTGTGCTATCTGCTTGGATGTCTTAGATATCAGAAAAGAGGACGATGACGAAGCTGTTCTAGAGGCTGCCATGGAGACTATGAGGGTGCTGCCTTGTATGCATGTCTTCCACAAGATATGCATTTTTGAGTGGCTTGGTAGCGATAAGTCGTGCCCTCTATGCCGATATAGGTATCCTAGTGTAAACGATGG